TTACATGGTGCACACCACCATGCCCAGCTTATTTTTTGTATTTTTAGTAGAGATGGGGTTTCACCATATTGGCCAGGTTGGTCTGACCTGGGTGACTGCCTGCCTCAGTATCCCAAAATGCTGGGATTACGGGCGTGAGCCACCTTTCCCAGTCAACCACTATGTTTTCTCATGATTCCCATAAGATCTGTGGATGACTTCCTTGTTTGTTGACCTTGATAAACCCTCAGGTCTCCTGCCTTTCACTTCAGATGTTCTTCTATAATAAATGTTTTTCCTATTGCAATCGCCTAAATAAAATTATCTCCACAATTGCCAATTGCATTTTGTTTATCACAACAATTACAGACCTTGGAAGGGGCGTGTGTGTGTGTGTGCTGGGTAAATCAAATAACCAGTTTTCACTTTTTAAAAAAATTAATGAGATAAGAGATTAGTTGTAAAATGCAGAGAGAATATTTATCCATGTAAAGGAGTCAGTGCAAAGTAACCATGAGCATTAAGCTCCTCAGAAATCCTCTTGGAATATCTGGAAGGGCCTCATAGCAGTGCTTCTCACACTTTAATGCATAAACAACTCTTATAGAAGCTTTTTAAAATGAGATTCAGATTCAACAGAGCTAGTGTTTTTGCTCTGCTCTCAGACCATGTTGATGCTGCTGTCTACGGTGCTCACTTTGAGTAGCAAAGCTCTGCAGGACATGGAATGGAAGTCTGAGCAAATCTTTTCTAGATCTCAAGAATGACCCTGGCTGACATTGAGTTATACAATACATGCAATGATGTCAATGTATGTTTGGTCACTATATATTTCGGAGAAACTTGGATATATAGCATATAGACCACTCTCATGACAGTGTTAGGAGGAAAAGCTAACTTGCTGCTTTGTTCCCAGGAGGTAAAATTAATAACCACAACAAAAGATGGTGACTTCTTTCAAGGCTATCTCATAATAGGTAAAATCAGTCAATAAGAGAACAGAGATTTTTTAAGAATCAGCTTGATGTAATGTGTCATATAAATTTATACCTCATAAGTCATATGTTGTAAATGCAGTTTTAATAGCTGCAGACTTTACAGAGTTTTTAAAAGCATAGTGATTAACACTGCAATTTTTTAACAGAAGCAAATGTTTACCTTAGTTCGCCTATTCCTTTAAAAACAGGCATGAAGAATTGATGTTCATAGTGTGGTACCAAAAGCAATATTAATATTTAAATAATTTTCTGCACATGCAAAATTACATTGTCTCTAAAAGTCTGATATCATCTTGGCTTCTTATATGTGGCTATCTAAATGCAGATTTTTTTTTCACCTGGACCTTGCTCCATTCAACTGCACAGCCAGGCAGCAGATATTGTACTCATCTCCAGGATAAATTCCCATTAGAAAGCACAAGATTGAATTTACAGTACAGCTTGTGCCTTCCTAGCAGAGATTATACTTTTGAATTTACAGTGTGTGGTTTCACATGAGATGACTGATTCATTACAGATGCATTACAGTAAGGCTGCTTTTTCTTGTGTCCCCACTGTTTTTTTGGACCTGGGAAATTCGTACGAACCTGTGCATTGGTATTCACCTTGATGTAAAACAAAGTTCCTGATGTCTAAATTCCAAGGAGTTCTGGAAGAGTTATATACACAAATATGGTTAATAAAAATGAAAATTTTGAGCACATAAATCCTCCATCATAATTCTGAAATTATTTCCCTAGCGAATTCACCCATATACTCACAACCTTCTAATATAATAGAAAGTAATGGCCACTATTGTCACACTTTTCACAGGAGAGGATTGAATTGCAATGCATTGAAAAGAAAGAGAAATAGGCTAGACATGGTCAAATAATTGTGGTTACCTAATAAGATAAAGAAAGTGAGCATATTTAATTGTGCAGTGAGCAGCAACATTATTACCTTTTATTTGTAGAGATAAGAGGGAGTGTGAGTGTGTGTGTGTGTGCGCCTGTATACACTGACACACATGGGTGGGTAGCTAAGGTCAGTCAAACTGGGCTAATAAGATTTACTTTAAAAAACCTATCCCTGATCCTCACAATTAAGGATTCTATTTATACATTTCTATGCATTTACAAGAGAAATGCTTTGTTTGATTAAAAAGTATTCATTTACTTAGGGTCATATTTCTAGAATTCGAAGAATGTGGGTTTACCCTTTGTCTCCCAATGTAAGAGTCACATTGCATGTGCTCAGCAGTTTCAGAATACTATTATTCTAAGTGAATTTTCCAGAGCTCACCTACATAGCAGATTAGGCAAAGATAAAAGAAGAAAAAAAAATAACTGCAGGGCACTTCCTTTTCTTGTGATAATCTGGCAAAGTTATACGTTTTGATACTGACAAAGCAAATCAACGACTATGGTACTTGTATTATTCTTTATCAATTCTATTTTCTTTCACCCCTTATTTCAAAATTTCTCTTGTCCAAAAGTCAACAGATTGTTGTGTTTCACCAATTTTTAGGCTCACTATAAAAAATCCAGAAATGCAAATAACACTGTGGAGTTTGATGCTTCTTCATTGAGTTTATGGTACATAAGTTCATCTGTATTTCTGATATTTGGTCAGCAAGTATTGCCTCATGGTTACTCCGGATTTTCGCGAACTCTCAAGTCCTCCACTCAACTGCCAGCTTCTTTTTCTCTTTACAGATACTCATTTAATTCACGGAAGGCATGGAGACCAATGTCTCCATATTCAAAGCTGTCTTGTATGTGTAGTAAGACAAACACACTCCCTCTAAATAATACTTTTTCCTTTCTTTTTAATTATTTGTCATCTTTCTTTCATAGTATATTTCAATGATGTTAATTTCCAGGAATAATGTTAAATAATGTTGTTTCTTAATTTAATGCAGCCTTTAAAAATATTTTACCATTAAATATGAGGTTTCTCTGAGTTAATTTTGTTGTATTTTATTTATTCCTTTTTGATGTTTCTTTTATCTGGCTTCTCTAATTGGATTCTGCTTAGTGCATTAATTTTAAAAAATCTTCCTTGCTTTCTAAATATATTTTAGTCCATTTATTTGTTTTGGGAAGGTATTATTTGAGCTACATCCTATAAATTTTGATACAAAGTGCTTTTATTATTATTCATTTAAAAATTTCATACATCATTTTTATTTAGAACAAAGTTTTATAATTTTTTAGATATTTTTATGGGAGAAAAGGGAAGTCTTGCATGTTGATTAGAATATATGACCTACCTGGTTTTTATATTTTAGAATTTAAAATCATGTTTGTGCACAAATACATAACCAATTTTTGTACATGTTTCATAGGTGTTTTATAAACCTGTTATAGTTTAGGATCCATTACTTATTGAATTGTTTCACTGAGATAATAATAATGTGTAGGGGAGAAAAAGATAATTTTTACTCTACATTTGTAAGTTTTTGCCTGGGTCTCTCTACAACATAAGGTAGATTAACAAGAGAAAAACAAACAAATTTACTAACATGTATGCCTCAGATATACATGAGAGATACCCAGAGAAAAATAAATAACTCAGAATTCAAGTGTATGTAATATCCTCACCTAAAAGCAAAGAAAAAGGAGGATGTGACAGAGGCCAGTTATGGGAAAATGACCAGGAGAAGCATGATAAACAAAAGTAAGGTTTGTCATGCAGATTTCAGTTAGCACCTTTCACATTGATAAGTGTCTTTTGTAATTTAACCATCCTTGTCTTCCTGGTACAAAGAGGGAGAAACCCTCATAAATGGAGATACAAATTTCTCTTACAAAAGGGTAATTTCTACTGTGTTTTCAGAGCTTATCCTGTTTCTCAGAATAATCAGCTCAATACAATTCTTATGACAAAGAGGCATTTTTGGTTTTTACAGTCTTATTTTGGGGTGGCATATTATAGTCTCCGACAAATGCCTACCTTTTTATTCTTAAAACTCTTCCAGAATTTTGGGATCCTCTTCTAGGTAGGTAGTTTCTTCTCTGTTTTCCTTGTAAGTCTGAAAAGGTGAACACATGTTGGATCTGCTTTCACACTTTCTGTTCACTCTTCAATACTGTGTAGCCTGCATTTCATTTCCAAAAGGCACCCCCAGTTACCAATCTAATTTCTTAATTGTTACATCCAATGGACCTGTCACAGCCCTTCTTTTCTACCTGAGTTGTCTCAATTTGCAGCCACAATTTGGAGAAAAAACTTTACAATTAATTTTCTACTCTAAGAATATATGTCTTCTTTTATAAGTCTCATTTTAGAAAGAGGCTATTTAATTTTCTAAGGTTTAAAAGAGTAGTGAGGTGATAGGAAATGAAGAAAAGACAGTTAATATGTTTCAGTTGGAGAAATAAAGAGTGGAATATTAAAATTTATCTGCAGTTCAAGATTTAAACTAAGTCACTGTAAAATTCTTGCTGCATGTGTTGAAAGATGAAATTACAACAAATTTAGTTTAGAGATCTAAATTGGCTGTATTGTAATTCTAGAATCAGGCAACATTTCATTCCATGAACTACAATAACTGTTCCAATGAGTCGAATGGAGGAGGTTGGCTTTATAGACAGAAAAAAAGGGCTGAAGAAGGCAGAAACAAAGCACAAAAAGCAGACTGATCATTTCAGTCATTTTCCTTGTAAGGCAGGGACAGACAGGCAGAACAATAGAAAGATAATGTAACTGGGGGATGGGGTGCAGGGGCTCAGCTCCCTCTCGGTGCTTGCCAACAATGTAAGGGCGGGGAGGGTGGGGCGGGGGGATGGGAGCAGAGCTGCAGGGCATCCAGAGGCGCTTCCTATTGCATCGATCAGATGGGCACAAGGCACAGCTCCCTCCCTGGTCCGATGTGTCCCTGGATGTGCCCAGGTCCTTGATCGCTCTTACCCCAGGAATGGGGAAGGGGTCCCAAACGGTGAGCTTACCGTTCGAATACATATCTTGGAGCCAAAGAGTTTAGCAGAGAGCAATTTATTAGGCAGAGAGAGGGGAGAGAGAGAGAGAGAGAGAGAGAGAGAGAGAGAGAGAGAGGAGAGAGAGAGAGAGAGAGAGAGAGAGCTAGACAGCTCCCACGCTGTAGTGGGAGGGGATTCAAGGGAGGAATCCGCACAGGTAAGGGGTCGGGGATTTTAACCCTGGAGTTCTTCCTGCCCCATTCATGTTCTTGTCCAATAAGAGGAGTTCTTTTAAACTTCCTCTGGAGTGATTGATCTTCGACTCTGATACTGGATTGGCCGCTATTTCTGCAACAGAGGCCCTTCCTCCCAGAGCTTTTCATGGGCTTTTCAAACAAAGGATCACACTGGGAATTTTTACGTAGCCCTGGCATGGGAAATTCAAAGAACTTTATGTTCCTGGATGGGGACATGGATGGAGGCATGATTCTGGGAAGCTCTTGCTTTTGAAACCACGCCCCTTGAGGACAAGAGAAGATTTTTTTCCTTGACATGGTCCTTCAATAACGGATTGGTTAACTCTTGGTGGTAGAGATTAAAACAGAGGGAACTTAATTTTCATGTAGTTTGAAGAATGACACTGGTCTGTTTGGGAAATTAGGCTGCTATCTCTCCCTCTTGATTGTTAGGAAGGACAGATAACACTTAAGTTTTGGTTTGGTAAGCACAGGTGACTTGATTTTGATTTTGAGTATGGTCTGCTGAGATCTAGTTTAGGAGTTTATTTCAAAGCTACAGCCTCCTGTGATTTAAAATATATATATATATATTTTTTTTATTGCACTTTAGGTTCTGGGGTACATGTGCAGAACATGCAGGATTGTTGCATAGCTACATACATGGCAATGTGATTTGCTGCCTCCATCCCCCGTCACCTATATCTGGCATTTCTCCCCATATCCCTCCCCAACCCTTCTATCCCATGCTGTCCCTCCCCTATTCTCCCAAACAGACCCCAGTGTGCGATGCTCCCACCCTGTATCCATGTGTTCTCACTGTTCAACACCAGCCTGTGAGTGAGAACAGGTACTTAAAAAAAAAGTACAGATATATAGATAGTATTTGTTGGATTTTCTGTTCTTGTGCCAGTTTGCTGAGAATATTGGTTTCCAGATTCATCCATGTCCCTACAAAGAACATGAACTCATCATTTTTTATGGCTGCATAGTATTCCATGGTGCATATATGCCACATTTTCCATGTTCAGTCTATCATCAGTGGGCATTTGGGTTGGTTCCAGGTCTTTGCTACTGTAAACAGTGCCACAATGAACATACGTGTGCATGTGTCTTTATAATAGAATGATTTATAAACCTTTGGATATATACCCAGTAATGGGATTGTTGGGTCAAATGGAATTTCTATTGTGATTTTTGCTTAACACATGGTTTCAGCATTCTGGTTCCCCTGCTGTGACACATAGCTTTGCTCTATGTACCTCTACAGGTAAATTTGGAAGCAAGGGGAAGAGGGAAGGTTGGAACATTGGATCAACCTGACAGATTCTCATTCATTTCTTGTTCTTTAGCACAGGTGCTTTCTCTGTCCAAAATACCTTTGTTTCCACAGCTTCTATGATGATTTCACTTGCAGAGCTGCTGGAACTCTAGCTTTGGAAAACATATCATGCAGTGTTCTTCTGATGTCAGCTTTCTCGGTGCCAGGACAGAGGATGGGGGAATAGATGCAAAATGTGTATGACACTGAAGGGTCCAGCCTCTAGCTAGGTATGATTGATGCCTGGGAATTAAGCAGAAGAAGACCAAAGGACACAGATCAAGGTACCAAAGTCCAAGCATAAATCTGAGGAAATCATACAACAAAAATGGCTAGGATACGCAGTTAGAATAACAGGAAACAGTAAAGAAAATATACTTGATTCCTCAGCACATTTCTGATTCAGTCAGGAGCTTTTCATGTGATTCCTGCTTAGGTAGAAGGAGATGGTTGCAGAAAATATACGGAGTGAGAAAGTTACGGGAGTGACAGGAGCACCTAAAGGAAGACTTGCTATTTCACATAGTGTGCTCTGAGTTTGCTTTGAGGGAATCATTTCTACTTCTTTCTCTTCCTTCATGATCCTTTAAGCAGAAGAGGTCATTTTTACATAAATTTCTCTCCGTTGGAATGTAGAAATGTTGATGGAACTTTTGAAGAAGTTAAATTTAAGTGTTTTACATCCCCAAATAGCATAAACAACAAATGGATTGGATTACCATATGAAAAATGACAAGTTTTTCCTTTTTCTTGCACTGAAGTTAAAAGATGCAGAAAACCTATTGTTACTTGTTACTGCTATTCACACATTAAAAATAAGAGATAAGCAAAGTTGGGGTCAAACTGGGCTTCTGTTCTTTAGTCCTCTTGTTCACGGTTGTTGTGTTACTCTTTCAGGATACACTTGAAAAGTATCTACTAACATTTAGAAAAAATGAGATTCTTTGTTATAAATCATGTAAGCACAGTGTTCCTTTTCTTATACAAAGTGAGAAAATAGAAATTTACCAGGTTAGAATGAAATTTAACAGACTTTCTGATAATTAACAGCTCAGTGTTTAGATCATAATTCCTTGCTTCTTTTCTTTCAGGGGAAATAATCAGCAACCTTGAAGCTGGAACATGTCATAAAAGGGGAGATTGAATTCATGGACTGGCGTTGGAGGCCACTTAGAAGGATACTGCAGAAATGTGTGTTTTGCTATAACCTTTGGTGTTATACAGAATTATAGGCTCTTCCCACCCCTTTCTAATTTTCTTATCCCAAATTTTCTCAACTCAAGATGGTTTCAAGTGGTCACTATACATGAGCTCAGAATAATTATAATAGGGCATGTGGTGGTCAGGAGAGAAAAATGACTGAGTGACTGTGGGAATTGACAAATATTTATTTTCGTTTGTGATATTGTAACTTGCTGTATTACAGGTTCAAAATCATTTCTCAAAGAGTAATTCTTGTTCTGAATTTGCAGGAATTTTTAATGCTTCATTTTACTAAAAAGTATAATATTTAATAGGCATTTAGAATTTATTTATTGTCTATGATATCCCTGGCATTTATTTCAGAGCTAAAGTTATAAAAAAGGCAGTCAGCTAAACTTTTATCAAAATTTAGTTGTCAGTCTCCTATGACGGAACCGTATGGAGTTATCCTGTCTATAATGGTAGCCACTTATTCCATATGGTTAATGAGCACTTGAAATGTGGCTAGTGAATTGAGGTATATTGTGAATATAGATTACACACTGAAATTTGAAGAATTAGTATGGAAAAATGTAAATTTTTGTTATTAATTTTTGTAGTGATTACTTGTTGAAATATTTATTTATTATTTATAAATATTTATTATAATATTTATAAATAATAGTATTTATTTCAACAAGTAATCACTATAAAAATTATTAACAGAAATATTAATCAACATTAACAGTAATTGGGTTAAATATAATAGTAAAGTTGATTTCATGTGTTTCTTTTTATCTCTTATAATGTGGCTGCTAGAAAATTTAAGATTATATAAGGTATTTGTATTTGTCTCACATTATATTTTGATTGGACATCACTAGTCTAGGATGTTTGTTAAAATAGCAAGTTATCACGTTCCATTCACAGACATTGTAACCACACAAAGTATTTACCTTGCTACTGCCTAAACAGAGCCAGTTTATCTAGATTAACTCCCCTAGACAGGGGGATTGCCATGGAGAAAGGGCGATTCACACTGAGCCAGCTGTGTGGGACTGGAGCTTTATTATTACTCAAATCAGTCTCCCTGAGCTTTGGGGGATCAGAGTTTTTAAAGATAATTTGGCAGGTAGGGTTTTGGGAAGTGGGGAGTGATGATTGGTCAGGTTGCAGATGGAATTGTAGTGGTATCCAAGTGAGATTTCCTCGATGTTTTCTGTTTCAGGGTGAGATCACAGAACTGGTTGAGCCAGATTACTGGTCTGGGTGGTGTAAGCTGATTCACGGAGGCAGGGTCTGCAAAATATATCAAGCACTGACCTTAGGTTTTACAATAGTAATGTTATCCCCAGGAGCACTTTGGAGAGGTTCACACTCTTGCAGCCAGAGGCTGCATAACCCCTAAACAGTAATTTCTAATCTTATAGCTAATTTGTTAGTCCTACAGAGGCAGACTGGTCCCAGGTAAGAAGGGGGCCTTTTCAGGGAAGGGCTATTATCAATTTTGTTTCAAAGTCAAACTATACATTAAATTACTTTCCAAGGTTACTTCAACCCATGTCTGGAAATGAGTACGGACAGCTGAAATGTTAGAAGGAAGATGGAGTCGGTTAGGTTGCATCTCTTTCACTGTCATAACTTCCTCAGCTATAATTTTTTGAAGGCAGTTTCAGCATTCTAATTCAGGTCTGTGGCTGTGAATCGAAAATCTGTATTTTCAAACAAGCACCTCAGATGTGATGTAAGGACCATACTTTGAAAACAGAAAACCTTGAGTGCAGAGTAGTCATAGAGACAGATGGCTGAGTAATAAAGAAACGTGATTAAAGAATAATCAAGGCTATGGCAGAAGAAAGTTCAGTGTATGGTAAAATATTACATTGAGAATTTTGAACAAGAGGAGGTGAGTAAAAGTAAGTTTTCCAGAGGAATAAACTGAGTTCTAAATACTGAGGAGTTACCCAGGTGAAGATGAGGTCTTTCTTCCAAGTACGGACCAGTGCAAAGGTCACAGGTGAAAGCAAGACAGCTTGGCGCACTGTCAGAACCAAAATTTATTATATGGCTGGAGAGATATGATTCAAGAAAAATTGGTCACGAGGAACTTGTAAACTATGTTATGAGATCTGGATTTTATTTTAAGACAATAGAACATTATTGAAAAGATTTTAAGGAATGCAGTAGCAGTGTAAAATGTATAGTAGGAATATCTTATAGTCAGAAATGTATCAATTACACCATTGTCATGGAATTGAAGTGTGAGTATTCACTTGAAGTTAGTTTGTTTTTAATGTAGACTATGAGTCTTACGATTTTTTTTCCTCTTTGTTGTGATGACTTAGAAATGTAAATCCAAATTTGTGAGTCTGTGTAGGCTTATACATGACAGAATGGTGTAAATTTCTGTGATACAGTGTTACTAGTGAAATTACCATTTTTCTTCCCTTAATTTGCTTTGCCTCTCATGTTCTAAATTAATTTGTTTGTGTTTTGTGCAATTTTGCTTTGTGTTTGTTGTCAATAAAGCAAGATATACATAAATATGAAGTAATTTTTTAATTTAACTTTATTTTTATTTTACCTTTTTATATTGTATTTTAGGTTTTGGGGTACATGTAAAGAACATGCAAGATAGTTGCATAGGTACACACGTGGCAGTGTGATTTGCTGCCTTCCTCCCCTTCACCTATATCTGGCATTTCCCCCCATGTTATCTCTCCCCAACTCCCCACCCCCTGCTGTCCCTCCCCTATTCCCCCCAACAGACCCCAGTGTGTAGTGCTCCCCTCCCTGTGTCCATGTGTTCTCATTGTTCAACACCTGCCTAGGAGTGAGAACATGTGGTATTTCATTTTCTGTTCTTGTGTCAGTTTGCTGAGAATGATGGTCTCCAGGTTCATCCATGTCCCTAAAAAGACACGAACTCATCGTTTTTGATGGCTGCATAATATTCCATGGTGTATGTGTGCCACATTTTCCCTGTCCAGTCTATCATCAATGGGCATTTGGGTTGGTTCCATGTCTTTGCTATTGTAAACAGTGCTGCAATGAACATTCGTGCGCATGTGTCCTTATAATAGAATGATTTATAATACTTTGGATATATACCCAGTAATGGGATTGCTGGGTCAAATGGAGTTTATGTTTCTAGGTCCTTGAGGAATTTCCACACTGTCTTCCAGAATTCACAGAGAACTAAAACAGATTTACAAGAAAAAACAAACAAGCCCATTCAAAAGTGGGCTAAGGATATGAACAGATGCTTTACAAAAGAAGATACATGAGGCCAACAAACATATGAAAAAATGCTCATTATCACTGGTCATTAGAGAAATGCAAATCAAAATTACATTGAGATACCATCTCACGCCAGTTAGAATGGCGATCATTAAAATATCTGGAGACCACAGATGCTGGAGAGGATGTGGAGAAATAGGAACGCTTTTACACTGCTGGTGGGAGTGTAAATTAGTTCAACTATTTTTATTTTACTTTAAGTTCTGAGATACATGTGCTGAATGTGCAGGTTTGTTACATAGGGATACGTGTGCTATGGTGGTTTGCTGCAGCCATCAACCGTCATCTAGGTTTTAAGCCCCGCACGCATTAGCTATTTGTCCTAATGCTCTCTCTCACCTTGCTCCCCACGCCCTGACAGGTCCTGTTTGTGATGTTCTCCTCCCTGTGTCCATGTGTTCTCATTGTTCAAATCCCACTTATGAGTGAGAACATGAGGTGTTTGGTTTTCTGTTCCTGTGTTAGTTTGCTGAGGATGATGGTTTCCAGCTTCATCCGTGTCCCTGCAAAGTCTGACTGGGAAAACATGCTATACAAACTAAAAATGTGGCCATTATAAGTCTTTCCTTAAAATGAAAACTGTAAAAATTAAGAAGAGGAATATATTTCCTTGTAAGCTAAAGATTTTGCCTTGCTTAATCTATAATATTTATTAGTAACCTAACAAGAATTTCTATGCCTGTTTACATGCACAATGTTCTGCTAGGCTACAAGTAACTGCTATTTATTGTCAAATATTTCAAAGGGATTTCATAATCTGTTTGTATTTTTTTGGTATATTACTTATCAGGTATGAGCTCATCAATTTAATTTATTTGCATTTTCTATAATGTAAATTCCCCAAACCTGCTTTCTATTACCTAACCATCACGTGGGACCTAGCTTTCAATAAAAATGCTATTAATCTCTTGTATTGATCTTTCCAAATTGGATGATAAAGTTATACCTTTTTTTGTATCTTTATAGCCACATGGGGAATTTATTTCATATATAGTAATAGAAGTTGGCATTTATATGATAATTTCCATTTATTGCATCCATTATTTTCTAATCCAGTGAATTACAGAGTTCTGGAGATATTGTTCTAAGGATTTCTTCCTAAGCTAGGAAAGAGAGTATATATCTCAGACCAAATTACAAGGGGTTTCCTCAACTTTTTCATCGCAAGTTTTAAAATTGGTGTGGAGCATTGTTACAGAGAAGTTGAAATTGTTTCTGTGCTTTTAACTTGTATTTTATTAGAAAAGTATATCTGCTCATTATAAAGTAAAGCATGTCAGTTAAAACTTCAGGAGCCTGTCCTCGTTTCCACAACAACATACACTCTTTGTTTACTTCTATCTCCCTGACCATTCCTCTAAGTTTATTTTGCTAGTTCCCTTTTTCTTCCTCTGCTGCAAATTTGGCATTTGTAAGGCGTCATTAACCTTTTCTCCCCTTTCTCTATCTACACGAACTCCTTATGTGATCTGTGTTAATCCTCCAGATTTAAATACATCTGTATACCGATGACTCAGAAATACAAATCTCTAGCACTAACCTTTTCCTTATGTTCCAGACTTCTATATCCATAGAACCACCACACCCAGCTAATTTTGTATTTTTGGCAGAGGTGGGGTTTCTCCAAGTTGGTCAGGCTGGTCTCGAACTCCCAACCTCAAGTAATTCACCTGTCTCGGCCTCCCAAAGTGCTGGGATTACAGGTGTGAGCCACCGTGCCTGGCCTTTTTTTTTTTCTTTTAAGACAGGGTCTCGCTCTGTCACCAAGGCTGGAGTAAAGTGTTACAATCATGGCTCACTGCAGCCTTGACCTCCTAGGCTGAAGTGATTCTCCCACCTCAGCTTCTCGAGTACATAGGACTACAGGTGCTTGCCACCATGCCCGCCTACATTTTGGAAGGCGGGGGGGTTTGTGTAGATTAGTTCTCATTGTGTTGCTCAGGGTGGTCTCTAACCCCTGGGCTCAAGTGATCCTCCCACCTTGGCTTCCCAAAGTGGTGGGATTACAGGCATGAGTCACCATGCCCAGCTTGGTGACGTCTTCAGCTTTCTATATTACTTTGGGCTTTTTCTCTCTCCCAATGTCCCACATTGATTTTTTAATTGTTGTGGTAATCCTAAAGACCATCTTTTTTTTCTTTCTGTCTTGCTTTTCTTTTCCTAGTCTCTTTCTCATTTCTATTTCCTGGGGAAAGTATAATATAGTTACATGTGTGAAATGGGGAAAAGAAAACCGTAGTCAAAACAATTTGTCTTCCTGGAATTGAGGCTGTAAGTGTGTTGGATCAAGAGAAGTTTCTCCTCTGCCTTCTCAAGGTTTGATAACTGAATCCACTGAGATAAACTG